TTCATCTTTATTGTGGGGCAGCTTAAGGCCATTTAGGTGACTTTGTCTCTATCATAGGGCAAAGACCACAAGGGCTCTCTCAAGCAACTTGCCTTGAAATAGGCAGTAACTTTCCGTTCTTAGCTTTCTTTCCTATGGAGGCTCTCCAGGGCACACCAGGGCTGCATCTCTTCAGGACACATCTAACTGCATCTGACATCCATGTAAGCTGTTACATTTTGCTGACAAATAGGCTTTTCTATGTGCCATAATCAAATGTCCTGCAACACTTCATCTCTCTCAGAGACCCTCTCAAAGACGTAGTGATCCTTTCCTGTATCGTGATGACAGATTGTCGTGGTGATCCCCTATTGGTATGCTGTCCAAACTGCCAAACTGTGCACTTCGAAAGTGTTTTAGTCACCGTTTTCTTGCTGTGAAGAGACATCATGACCAACTCTTATGAAAGAATTTAGCCGAGGGCTGTGTGCAGTTTCAGAGGTTAGGTTTTTACGAGCATGATGGGGAGCAAGGTAGTGCAAGGGCAGACATGCTCCTGGAGACTTCCGGAAGTTATCCTGACTCCCAGGAAGCAGGCAGAGAAAGTGACCCTGGGCCTGACACTCGCAGTCACACACTGCCTCCAGCAAGGCCATATATACCCCTAATCCTCTCCAAATAGTTGGTCAACCGGGAACTAAGCATAAAGGTGTGTGGGCCCATGGGGACCATTTTCATTCAAACTACCACGCACATGACCAGTTCATTCTTAATTCTTCAGCTGGGTAGTGATTGAGAGGGAGATTTTCAGGCTGTGGTTTTAAACGTAAAATTTAATTTCAGAGCCATAAAAGGTCAAGGTCACTAAGCCATGCTTCTCTCAATGATTCCCTTCAAATGAGATGAGGCAGTGTTGCTATGCAATTGTCTTTGGTTATTATGCAAGGAGTGGCAGTCAAGTGTTCTAGACCAAAAACAGATTTCAAAATCTTTTTTCCTTTCAGTGTTACAGAAACAATAGTGACAAACACTTTGCAGTGCTCACTTTGACGGGATGCGTAGACACCCGAAATCGGCTCATTATGCTTTGACTGGCCTCTTCTCAGACTCTTGGCAGGCAGCGTGCACGTCACAGAGTTCTGAAAAGCAAGCCCTTCGAGGTGGTACCTGGATTCTTTGGATTTCTGGCAACCCCATGAACTCAGGGTGTGCAGGCAAGGAAGAAAGAGATTTTCTCTCTGCAAAACAGTTGTTGTTTTTGCTTTCTGATAACGTCACCCATGACTCCAGCAGGCGTCTGGAGGTCTCTGGAGCTCTGAGGATTCTGGATTGCAGGGGTTGTCAATGAGATCTGTCTTTAAGCGATGTTGAAAATTTGGGATTGGTTTTTCCTCCAAGTTTCTACCCAGGAGTTAAAGGAACTGACTCCGACAACTCGGTTTCCACTCTGAAATTGCTCCACAATTTTTTCCAAACGAGTGCGCTTCAATCCTGTAGGAGAAAGCCCACCTCTTCAGCGGTGTGCTCTGTAGCCACATCCTCTGGTTGCCCTCAACTGTTAGGAGCCTTCATTTCAGCGAGACCACACAGTAGCTGACAGAAAATCTAAAATAACGGTATTGGCTGCTTCTGTGACATTTTGAGAGTTAAAGGACGTTTCCAAAGGTGCAACAGGGTAGCAGATCCAAGGAAGTCAGCGGGCGCTACCCTTTCTTCTTTCTCCTTTTATTGTGAACCTTTACGGAGTGTAATGAGGCAAGTGGCTGACACTTCTAGTTAGAGCCAGTCTAGGCAGAACATTGTTCAGAACGGCTGTTGAGTTGCTTTTGCGTTTCAACCTGTAGTACCCATGGCTCAGCTGACATCCCCGTATTTGTGTGGTTTTCATTTTTGCAGAATTAGCATAAAAACTATGTTAGTGAAGATCTTGCAAGATGCTTGTTAAGTGTCTGTATTCTTGAAAACAATACAATTATGCTGAACAAGCTAGCCTGCACGAACGTATATTATATATTTAAATGCTTATTTGGAAAGTAAACTATAAAGTACAACATAAATTTCATCAGTAATATTATTCTTCATCTTATTTTCAAGGAATAAAATGTGCTTATGTGTATCCTATTGGTTTAAATATTAAGTTTGGCTATAGACTTACTACATAATATGATATTCATATTTTCTTATTTCAGTTGTTCTTGGTTGTAATGAGCCTGGAATTTGGCATATTTGTGACAATTTTCATTTTAAAGTCAAAATATTTGAAACTGGCTGGGTATGTTGGCTCATGTCTGTAACCACAACATTCAGGAGGCTGAGGCGAGAGGATTCCCAAGAGTCAGAGTTGGAGTCCAGTCTGGGCTACACAGTGAATCCCGGGACAGCCTATTTTATAGCACGAGACCATGTCTCAAAAAAATTAAGCCCAAGTGAAGCCAGGCCAAAATAAACCATTTAAAAATATTTACTTTGGGTGTAGTTAGAGTTTAGTTCTAAAGATGCGGAAAAGAAGGACCACCATGCTCATTTTCTGGTTTTATAAAAGCCACCTCATAATTAAAGTAGTTGTGTGCATGTGTGTGTGTGCAGGCCTGAAAACACATCCAAGACTCTCTGAATACAGCTGCTTTTGTGGCTCCTGTTGAGGGGGCTGCTGAATGGCTTGGTTTCCTACGCCAGGTGGTCATAACTTACGCTATCCCTTTGCCTTGAATGTGGGTGATGCCTACGTTGTATCGTTTAGATGTAGCCAATACCCCAAACCAATTAGTTTTAAGTTCAGTCAAAAAACTAAGAAGGTGGGCTAGATTGTATAGGTGAAGAGCCTTTAAAAAGAAACTGCATTCGCCATGAGGCAACAGACCCTCCTCTGTCTTGCTGGTTTTTGAATTAGATAAACAGTCATGAAGTAAGTGACCATATTGAAGCAACCGATAATGCAAAATGAGTGGCTGTTTAGGGGCTATGGGCAGCCTTTGACAAGAACGAACGTTTTCAGTCTCACAGCTGCAGGCGAATCCTCCTGTCCCCACCTTGGGGAAGCTCTGCAAGCCTGGATCTTGGCGAGCAGATGTGGAGAAGTCTCCTAAGCCAAACTCTGTGGTCACGAGCGGCTGAGAGCCAGCCTGTCCCGCAGGTGCAGTTAGTTATCTATGGATTCAGCTCAAAGGCAAAACCATGTTGGGCAAAAAGAACCATGTTCTTTTTGTAGATCCTTCTACCTGACTCTTTAGAAGCTATTCTCAACCTGTGGGTCGTGGCCCCTCAAGGGGGTCCAGCGACCTTTTCACAAGGGTCGCCTAAGGGTATTGGAAAACACAGATGTTTACATTAAAATTCTTAATAGTAGCAAAATAACTTTATGGTTGAGGTCGCCACGACATGAGAAATTCTATTAGAAGGTGGCAGCTAGGAAGGTTGAGAATGACTGCTTTGGCGTATCTATTTCATAGAATGATGGGAATGTTACTTGGTAGATACATAAAGTGCTTGTTAGTGATTACATGTCATCTATGTGCTTAGAAAAGAACCAGCTACATTGCTATTCTGTAGCCATTTTCTTGCTCAGCTCTTTCGTATTTGCCTTTTTTTCAGTAGTGATCATTGGAGGGCAGCTCTTCAGTACCCCTGACCCAGAAGAGCATAGAAGAGATTTAATAAATACCTGCGAATAAATACATATTTAGCATATACTGGAAATCTCTACATTTCTGTCAGAGTGTAAAAGAAATTCATGTCTTTTGTTATTTCCTTAAGTGTTGAACAAGGAACAGTTTTAGATGCTAGTATTGTACATTTTAGCACTGTTGTGACACTGAGTACATTGTAAAGCTTCTTTTTCTATATGTATGTCCTCATTTGTGTGTTCTAAAAATTACTCAAATAATTTTTGTAGAAAAGGACAGTGTTTGGCACATGGAAACCATTTATTTTACTTCTTCTTTTTAAATATTGAAATTTTTTGGCTTGATTGATCCACGTTTTAATTTCCATTTGTAAAACTGGGAGCTTAATACTTTCTCCTCAATTCATAGAAATAATGTGCTAATAATTTCTACCATATGCCTTGATTTTTCACACTTCAATTATAGGTTGCACAAAATACTATTGTACATATTTAACCATTTGAATTCAAAACAAAACCAGATGTTTCTATTGTCATAACATGGAATATTCACTAATGTCTTTAGCATTCTCAGTATAATAAAATGCTGCAAAGGAAACTGTGCTAATCCAAAGAATGGAAAGTACATGTTATGCGTCTTCCTTGCCGATATCATAATTACATCATTTCTGTCTCAAAGAACCAAACATTATTTGTATTAAATCTAGGTGTGCCGGCTTTAAAGACCCTTGCATGTTGAAAGGTACCTGCCAGAATAGTCTCAGTGGGCAATCTTTACTTCATCCTGGAAAGCCTGTTCAATTCCTTTCAAATGAAATTGCAACCTAGTTAACACTAAGTATCCCTTTAGAAACAGAATGGAAGACTGAAGAAGATTAAAAAAGAAAACGTCCCTAAATGTGACCCATTCTTCTGGTTTAGGTTTTAAAGAGACAGGCAGAGACGAGCAGAATAGGGATTTTCATTTCAGCCGAGTAAAGTGGGCACCGCTTTCGGGAAATACTGCAATTTCTCCGGAGAGTAATCCAGATCGTTGTTAGCAAAGTTCACACCAAGTTTCTTCAAAACACAGCTTTGAATCTTTTAAAAAAATGACTGCAGAGTAAGTGTAATGGCAGAATGAGGAAAATATTTTGATAGCAGAAAGTGTTTCTCTGGGACTGTCATGAAGGCTCTGTGATCACAGCCCATTATTCCGGTAAAACTCAGGTTGCTCTAGTGATATTTTAGTTCTTTTTTAAAAACCTGCGCTACAAAATTAATTACAGTATTCTGAAGAATAAATTGTAGTGAATGAATATTTACACATTAGGTTTTCTCAACAATTGGTTTTGAAGTTAGAAGTAGTCGCAAATTGTTGGGGTACTCTTTCATCTGCTTGATCTTATTTTTTTTTAAGATAAACATGGAACACTTCATGAATTTTTATGCCATGCTTGCGCAGGGCCATGATAATCTGCTTTATATTGCTCTAATTTTAATGTTCGTGCTGTCAAAGGGGACATACTTGTCTTCTTAAATTTTAAAAGAAATCTACATCCTTAGTTTTATCCTCTTTTCTGACTTTCCTAGATCTCACAAAGGGATAATAGAGTGAGTTACACCGTCAGAAAACATAAGATGCCTCCTTAATGCCAGGCATGGTGGGAAAGTCTGTATTCCCTACTCCCGATACCAAGGCAGGCCTCCTGAGAGGGCCAGCTCAACAGAACCTAGGTAAGACTCTGTTTCCAATAAACGAAAACAAACAGAACAGAAAAACGTGTTTGAAAAACACGAATTTTAAAAGTTATTTCCCTCTGTGTGTGTCTGGAGATTAAAGTCAAGGCCTTTATCAGACTGAGCAAATCTTGGCCACTGAGCCACACCCATAGTCCTGGGTCTTGTATATTCTCAACTAAAATCATCCTGTGGAATATTTGATTATTCATATAACTGTTATTTTCCCACTAGCAAAATTTCAGGTGAGACAAATCCACACGTAGAACTGGCACGTATATATTGACTTGAATACAAAAGGCTGCTGCCACCAGTATTTTCCGATGTCGTAGATGTAAATGATAACTATTTTTCATTTAAATTTATTATTTTTTTTATCATTTTATTAAGTGTGTGTGTATGTGTGTTCAAGCCATGTCACAAGTGCGGAGGACAGAGGAAAACTTGGGTGAACTGTTTCTTTCCTTTCTGGGAACTGGGGTTGAACTTAGGTCTCCAGATCTGGTGTCAAGTGCCTTTACTTTCTCTGCCATATTGCTGTTCCTAAATTTAAATATTGTTAATTTATTATTACTAAATTTTCAAGATCTAAATATTGGTGGGTGTTTATGTGGTGTGTATAATAATTATTGCTCTCACACAAGCAACAAAGTATGAATATGAAAAAAGAGTTAGGGCATGATATTTTACTTCATCTGTAATCCTAGCATTTGGAAGGCTAAGCAGAGGATTAGGTGTTTAAGGTTAGCATTGGCTCCGTAGTGAGTTCAAGAGCAGCCTGGGCTACATGATGTCCTGTCTTAAAAACAAAACAAAAGTAACAGCAAAAATGAAAAATAAGTAAAATAGGAATAACAAAGCTGCACAAGAAAAGCAACTTAGAAAAAGAAACCCTTTTTGAACAAAACAAGCCACGCTTCAGCTTTCTAATTCATAACGACATGCTATTTCGGGAGGTATAAATTGCCAGTCAGAGCTGGACACAGGGAAAAGCGGCATTATGATCGCCAGCCCTTGCTTGCTGTGCTGTGGACAATGTGTACAAGGTTGTACAGATGACCTCAGTGGTATTCTGGGCTGTCCCTCCCTTGCTGGGTAGTGAGTCCGGTGACTTAGTGTCTCTGTCTTGAGTTTATCATTTATCAAACGGAGGCATAGAGCTTCTCTAGCCAAGCTTTGCTTTACCCTGCTGGGTACCGGGCAAGTACTTCGTGATAGTACTAGCATCATTACTAGGGCAATGCTCTCTGTTTTGCCAAGTACTTCCATGCACAGTCTTTCCTCTGTGGTAAGTTCCTGGCTTATACCACACCTTCTATAATGATGCCATGTACACGTATTTAATACGTGTTTAGTACGTATGATTGTTAGTTTGTTCAGAGTGAAAGGGGGTGGGGTTCATTCTTTCTGCTTCTATGGAAGCTCTCAGTACATTAAGGGTCCTTTTTTTCCCACTCAAGTTCAGCCTAACTTCAAATCGTTTGAAGCTACAATTTTATTCATTCACCCTTGTCAAGCTTTATTCTCCAAAGATATCTTTTATCCCCACTTTACAGATGGGAAAAGTGCAATAACGGTCCTAAGGCTAGAGGGCACAGAGCCTGTGCCTGACTTTCTGATGGAACACGGCAAACACTGGCTCTGCACTGGATCTGGACGAATCGTGAGCATTTCAAATCTTGTTTGTAAGCTTCTGAATGCAGAGAAATGAAAAGAAGGCACCCATACAGTGGCCGTGCGAAGCCTTTGGTAGCAGCCTTGCTATCCAGCCTCGGCAGTTTATGCCTTTAATCTTCTCAGTGACTGGCAAGTGTTAAAACCATTTTTAAAAGTACCTTGTAACCTCCAACCTGAAGAAGAAGAAAAATGGCTTAGGGAGCAGTTAAAAGCCCCATTATAGGTTGAGTCATTTTTTTTTTTTTATGAGATTTTTTTTTTAAAGCACTCACTTTTCACCCATAGGTTGAGACTTTTTTTTTTTTCTTCTAGTCTAGATGGAGTTAGCTCCTTGCCAGAAGGAAGCAGAGTGGTGTTAGTGAGAGCTGCAACACGACCTACGACCTACGAGAACACGGTGCTTCCAGGGGCATTTCTCAAGCAGATGCCAACTGCTGTGTTCTCTTGCACCAAAACACGCTGCTCAGAGTGGCGACTGATTTGCATACTCAGCAAAAATACCTGCCTGCTGTTGAGCTCATTAGCAAATTCCAGTGTCCTCTCCACCCCCAACCCTGAGGCGCAGACAGTGTTCCAGAAACTGTGTGTGTGTGTGTGGGCATATGTAGAGACCCTAAATAATCCATTCTGACTTATGTACACTGCTCTTTATGAACGGCTTCCTTATAACTAGGGTGTTTCATTTAAAATGGAACCTGTGGCTGCAATAACCCCAAGGCACAGGCTTAGAACATTAACATTAACCAAACTGAACATTGAATATTCATATGTGTAACTGATTGTTCAGAAAGGATCTTATGGGGTCATTGAGAAAGCATGGAGAGCAGAATCTTCTGTAAATAAGATATAATTTCTGATTTCCAAAATTGTGATTTTATTTTTGTTGTTGTTATAAAAATGCTTCTATCTCAAGGAACATACTTCTTTTTAACTTTTGAGTAAGGTTAGGCGAAAGGGGTCTTTAATTTGGGTGTTTAACCAGAACACATTCTGAGAGGGGAAAAAGAAAACATCCCTGAGTGTTTTGTTGCTGAGTATGTCATATGTAAATCTGGAGGCAGGCCTGGAGACAAAACCAAAGGGAAGGGGAGATGAACCTAGTCAGTGATCCCAAGAAAGCAAGCACACTTAGCCCAGACATCAGTAAGTTCCTGTCACCCCAAGCATGATTACCCTCGGGAAACAACAAAACCCAGCAGTTTCTCTCTGGCAGCTGGAGTTTAGCTGGAAATTCAAACAAGCACGCTTCTTAGAGTCCTTCTAGGATAATCTTGGAAGAATTAATGAGAAAAGAACTGGTCTGTTCTATACTTCATGACAGTAAACATTCAGATGGCTGAATAGCATTCTCTGGTCATTTTTACCAAGAAAGCAAACCCAGGTGACTTCTGGATCACTTTCCTCTCCTCTCCTCCGTGGTGTTCTGTGGTCTGATTTGTTCGCAGAGGTTGGCTTTGATTGCCACGAAGGGGAGGGGGAAAGCATTGCAGATTGTCATCACTCTCCAATCTGCTTGCCTGGGTTCAGTCTCTGTGCATTTATCTGTCTTCCCACATGGTACCCAGACTGTAGCTCGAGGCCTCTCCCGAGCACATTGAAAATCTACTGTGCTGAACTCTTATAGCTTGTTGGAAATAGGTAATTGTCTGCTCAAAAGAGCTATTCTGTTAGGTGTAGGTATAGGGGTAGGGGTAGGAGTAGGGGTAGGGGTAGATATAGGTAAATGAATCAGAAAAAATGAGGCATTTAGAAAGCTGTCAGATGCATCTAGAAACTTTTAAAAATGAAAAAGGCCAGAAAAATTTTATGATTCATATAGAAGTTGAGAAAAAAATGACATGTAAGCCTGCACATGTACAACATGAGTGTTGGGGGACAAATTAAATAATGATGATTAGGCCCACAACAGATCTTATGTGAAAGAGGTTTATTAGATGGAGATGAAGAGAGAGAGAAAAGAGAAAGCAGGACATGATGGGGGAGAGACAGGACACCCCACCCCGACAGAGAAAGGAGAGAGGGCAGAGAGCCAAGAGGGAAAGAGGGGGCAAGAGGGAAGAGAGAAGGCAAGAGGAGCAAGAGAGAAGAGACCAAGACAGGGACCACATGGCCGGCTGGTCCCTTTAAGGGGGAAGGTAACCACGCCTTCCAGGTGTGGCCACCTGGCCAGCCCACGTAATGACATCATAGGTTGCTAGGCAACCCAGAAGCAGGTTTCCTGTGTGTGTGGTTTCTTAAATGATTGAAGCACTTGCTGTTTATTGGTATACTGGTTTGGTTATGGTTGTTTGCCATCAATCAGTCTTGGCTAACTCCCCATTTCTAATGAACAGTTAGTTAGATGAACTATATTGCCAGTGTTCTCAGAATCACTTCTTATCAAAAGTTTGAGCTAAAGTAGAACATAAAACACAGAAGTATAGCCTTCCCTTTCCTTGTCAAGGCTAGCTGGGGATGTTTTTGATAGACCCCCTCTCTGTTCAAAAAATTCCCTAATTTGAAATATTTCAGCATTAAATGGTAGGTTAACTGTGAACTCTTTGGCTTTTAGAGTACATTTTTGAAGTTGTATTAATGTGTGTGTTGGAAATACTTGGGTAAAGTTACATTGGATTAATCTTGGATCCAAAGTTGAGCTGGTTTAAACACAACCTGAGTCAAGTGTTATAATATAAAAACTCTCAGCGTACTGGGCTACATGGTCCGTTCTTAGTCAGATGGTGATGATTTGGTAGACAGCTTGGTAAAGCACAGTCAAAAGGGTTGCAAACACGGCAGGGGTACATTAAAGGCCACCGGAGGATGCTGGAACAGAACCCCTGTCTGTTCCGATGGCCCCCATATGCCCTGAAGCAGTGCTGTAGGGCACAGTGTAAATTTGTTCCATGTTTTGTGCCCTAGTGCCCCCTTTGAATCACTGCTCTTGCTCGAGGGCCATTACTAAGTGAACTAAAGGTTACTGGGACACAAACTCTGCCCATCATGACAGTTGCTCTAAAACCCAAGATGGCTACTGAACCACCTCACAGGAAGAGGATGGAGGGGGGTGGTGTAAGATTTTTCACACTACTCAAGTGAAAACTTACTGCTTACTTCTGGATGTCTAC